TCAGCTAATTTTAGACGTCTACATCAGCTAATATTAGAACTTTACTTCAGCTAATATTAGACCTCTACATCAGCTAATATTAGACCGCTAAATCAGCCAATTTTAGACTGCTACATCAGCTAATATTAGACCTCTACATCAGATAATATTAGACCGTTAAATCAGCAAATTTTAGACTGCTACATCAGCTAATATTCGACCTCTACATCAGATAATATTGGACCGCTACATCAGGTAAAATTAGATGTCTACATCAACTATTAGACCTCTACATAAGCTAATACTAGACCTCCATATCAGCTAATACTATACCTCTACATTTGCTATTAAACCTTTAAATCAGCTATTATTAGACTGCTACATCAGCTAATATTAGACCTGTACATCGCCACAGATGTCTACTTCAGCTAATATTTGACCTCTACATAATCTAATATTAGACCGCTACCTCAGCTAATATTAGATGTCTACTTCAGCTTATACTAGACATCCACTTCAGTTAATATAAGAATACTATATCAGCTAATATTAGACCTCCACATCAGCTATTATATATTATATATACATGAGCTAATATTAGACTGCTACACTTTTCACAAACACTGTTTAGCTTGTTGCAGTTTTCATATGCTAACAATATTTTAGCCTTTAGCTTGGCCCGTGCAAATATTTTTGGCCTTTTCTGCCCACTCCGTGCCTTTTGACTGATTAACTATTGAACTGTTTTGGAAACTATTTGACTGAACATCACTTCAAAGTTGAACTATCCCTTTAAACTGTTTTAGGCATGTGTTTTGAAGGATGTGGACCTTGTAGTGCTGCAACAAAGTTTCACATCAATACCAGCCCTACATAAGAACTGCATTCAGGATCATAAATACTTGAAATAGTTTAAGCTCCTCTGACTTTAGACTCCCCTTATTAGGAAACGGTTCTCCTTTCTTCCCGAAGACAATTGTCTGTCCATGTTTCTGGGCGTAACTAATGTCCTAAAATGGTCTTATTGTTCTGCTGCAGCATGATTTATAAAATCCTGTGGTTTTTCCACTCAATGGTCAGTGACTTCATTTGTGCATTTCCTCCTACAGAATAGTGGTTTGGACCTTGTCCCCTCTGCATTTTTTCTAACACAATTGGCACTCAGCGTGCTGTTTCTGGGAATTTACTTGTGGTCAAAATGAAACTGAGTAATAGAAAAATAAACTCCCTCGCAAAAAATAAAACATGAGAAAGAGTGTGTAATAATGGCCACTGAACATTTGGCATGATGTGGTTGGACAGCGCACATAAATAAAATCACCCACATTCTTAATCGTTTCATTGTTTTAATAAATGCCCTTCCTTTGAAATGATAGTTCAGCTGTTTTCAAGTGGGGCTTTGGGGAAAGATTATGGACAATAAACATCTTACCTGTTGTAGATAGCTCTTTGAACAACTTTAAGTCGTTATGTCTCAATTGGTGTCGACTGTTGGAGATTAGTTGGTGAAGGACATTTCTGAGTCTCTAGTATGTCTCAAAATGTTTGCAGGATATTGTGTGTGTGTGAGTCTCAGAGGAACTAAAGTCTTGTCAACTGGGTGGGTGGATGGATGGATTGATGGATGTGCAGGTGGGTGGGTGGGTGGATGAAGTGTACTCTTTAAATGTGGGGAAGTGTCCTGAGTCAGGTAGAATGTGTGAGTGGAGGAAGGCAAGACAATAATGTGCATGACCTTAAATACAGTTTTGGAAGTCGTCTACACAAAAATAAGTCTGGAAAAAAAAAGTCAACTTTGCTAAACATGGCTGGAAGGACTTACTGGTCTCAAGCACTCAGAACTCTGTGGATATAACTGGGACCCTGTGTACAAAATTTCCACCAAAAGTGTTACATATGGTGCAAATGACAAATAAACTCAGACTCTGCAACGTTTGCCTGTTTTCTGGGGCCATGCTTTTCAGAATCCAGTTCAAAGGAATCTTCTATGAGCGATGTAATGCATCTAAAAATAGGTTTTGGTTTTATCCCCCACCACTATGTTTGGAGTTGCCAATAACTAGTCTCTAACAGTGGCCGGACAGGCAGATATTGAATTTAGTTTGGAGAAAGAGTTTACACCAAACAGGACTGATGGGCTAACAGCTAGTCCGACTGTAACTAAGACCGACATGGACTGCTGTTGTCTTAAAACACGTCAGATGATGAAAATTTAATGGCAGTTCATGTGAATGATAATTTATAGATGTTTACATCCGCATCAGGTTACTGTATAATTCTATAGTTGTTTTTAAATACAAATAACTGAACAACTAACTGTACTTGTGCTGCTTCGGGACAGCTCCAGCATGAATGCTAGAACATCCCTGATGAAATAACTGTAATCCAAAACTGATGGAGCTGTAAAGGTTTATAAAACAGTGTTCACATGAACTATGACATTTAGAGAATATGACATTGATCCACTTTAGCCTTTAGTGTGTTTAGACTAACCATTGGTTCGTCAGTCCTGTTTTCATTGTCGTCTACCGTTGTCATCATTCTTTGTTAAACCAGGTCTCTCTTGTAAATGAGTCCTCGAGGCTCAATGAGACTAACCGGTAGAAATAAAGGTTGAATTGAACTGAATATTAGCTCTGGAGCTAATGTTGTATATATTAGCTCTGAAGTTAATGCAAAGCTGAGTCATTTCTGCATTCTCTCTGTCAGCATGCTCCAGTTCAAATTAAAAGGCTTAATATCAGAAAATGTCCAAAATTAACATTCAAGCTGAATGGAGCATCTTTACATCATTTACCCAGAATGCATTGCAGCGATTGTTTATCAATTAACTAGTCAAAGATCATTTTAAGGACTTATCTACAACAAAGAAGATGCTAAATATTCATAATTTTTCCAGCAAACCTCTTTCTAATTAGCTGAACTATGCCGACTTGAAAGCTGTGTAACAGTGATATATTGAAGCATAATATAAAAACATGGAAATGTACAAACTCTGCAGTGGCTTTTTTAGACATGAAAAAAAAAGATAAAATATACTAACTGTTTTCTTTAAAACACTTTTGCTTCAAAATGATGTTTTCATCTTTCGGAGTACAAAAATTTATAAAGTATATTTCTCTTTACAGCGTAAATCCAGTCCACTCATATCAGTTTCTCTGACTGTCTATGGCTTTTTCCCATCAAGTCCAAAAGAGAGGCTCTCTGTACGAAAACTGAGACCACGGGTTCCCATCAGAGGGTCTCGTACAGCAGCATTCCGCTGAAGAAGGTCAAAGGTTCAGATGAGAAGGCCAGCTTGCCAGTGACGAGGTCGATAGAGACGGTTTCCCCAGCTTCCAAGGGTAGGATGATGTTAAACACGGCCACTGCTCCAGGGATGTGTTTGGCCTCTGCCATGGGCTTCTCCAGGCCCTCAGGCTGGTATCCAGCTGAATCCACTCGGGCAACACCAGTGTTGGACTTGGAAAACACAGCCTCGATCTTCATGTTTTTGTGACCCGTCAGGATGCCACTGAAGAAGTACTTTCCACTCACAGGAGCTGTGAAAATACCTGGAGGATGAAGAAATAAGGAGAATGTAGAATGAAGGAGAGTGTTGATGTCAGACCACAGGAGAAGCTTCTTTTTTCAGAGCTGCTTTAACTACACAAGGCTGGTCATTTTACAGATCAGTTTCAGATGGATGATTAAGACTCACTAAACCTTAAATCTGTGTTAGGAAAAAATTGTTTTATGGTAAATGGACTGGACTTATATAGTACCTTTCTATCTAATTAAGATACTCAAAGCTCTTTACAACACAATCTGTGCCCTCATTTACCTCCACGCACACATTCAAGCACTCTACTACATCCCTAGAAAATTTCCAGAGCTATCCCTTAGTTATGCTGCTATACAGCAGATTTAGACTGCTGGAGGACAAACTGACCACATTTCTTCACTCTGCTGTGGTCTTCACTTACTTTACCTGTTTTGTATTTGTTATTATTTATATCCTTATCATGCTTTTTATTTTTGGTAAACCAGCCACTAGGGAGCACAAGCCAGTGCATCTCTTGTGCTGGTCCCAAGTCCGGGTAAACGGTGAGAGTTGTGTTAGGAAGGGCATCCGACGTAAAACACTTTTGCCAAAATTTTAATGCGAGTTCATTAAAGTGATACCATATCGGATCGGACAAGGTCAGGGTTTACAATAACCGCCAGGGTGCCGGCAGAAATTGTGCTACTGTTAGTCGAAGACCACGAGGAGGTAAACGTGTCAGGAGACAGAGGGAGAAGAGGAAAGTCAAGAATGTAGGACTGAGGATTGCAACTCTTACTGTGGAGACAATGACAGGCAAAGGTGACATGATGGCTGACATGATACAGAGAAGGAAGGTAGATGTTTTACGTGTCCAAGAAACCAAGTGGAAAGGCAGCAAGGTTAGCAGCATTGGAGCAGTGTTGAAACTGTTTTACCAAGGTGTAGATAGAAAGAGAAATGGAGCAGGGGTGGTACTGAAAAAGGAGTTGGCAAAGAATGTAGTAGAGGTGAAAAGAGTGTCAGATAGGGTGATGTGTCTGAAGGTAGAAATAGAAGGTCTAATGCTAAACATTGTCAGTTGTTTTGTTCCACAGTTTGGATGTGATGTGGAGGAGAAAGATATATTTTGGAAATATATGGATGAAGTGATAGAGAGTATTCCCAGGGAGGAGAGAGCGGCATTTGGAGCAGACCAGAATGGACATGTTGGTAAAGGAAACAGAGGGTAAGTTTGGTGTCAAGAAAAGATGGTGGTGAATTTTGCCAAGAGAATGGAAATGGCTGTAGTCAATACTTATTTCCAAAACAGGGAGGTACATAGAGTGACCTATAAGAGTGGAGGAAGGAGTAAGCAGGTCGACTACATTCTGTGTAGAAGAGGAAACCTGAGGGAGATTGGGGACTGTAAGGTTGTGGCAGGGGAGAGCGTGGCCAGGCAGCATCGGATGGTTGTGTGTAGAATGACTGTTGTTGTGAAGAAGAGAAAAAGTCAAATCAGAGAAGATCAAATGGTGGAAGATGAAGAAGGAAGAATGTTGAGAAATTCAGAGAGGGGAAGATTAGTGAGGATGAAGTCCAGAAAGCTCTGAAAATAATGAAGAAGGGGAAGGCAGTATGACCTAATGACATACCAGTGGAGGTTTGAAAATATCTTGTAGAGATAGCAGTAAGGTTCTTGACTTAAATATTTAATGGCATATTTGAGGGTGAGGAAATACCTGAGGAATGGAGGAGAAGTGTGCTGGTGCTCATTTTTAAGAACAAGGGTGACGTTCAGAGTTGTAGCAACAACAGGGGAATTACGTTGATGAGTCACACAATCTGCAATATATAAGCTTACAGAACACCACAGCTTTATAACTTGTTGTAAACACACTCGTTTCTTTGAATTGATAAATCTCCTTAGATGAGAAGCAAAATGTCTTCAGTTACAAATAATGTCCAAGTCTTTTGTTTTAACCTTTTTTGGATTTACCATGTCCTGGATGACTGAGAATCTTCACCAGTGTCACACAATGAAGATCTGGGAGAGAATTGTGGAAGCTAGAGTTAGATGTGAGGTGACTATTTATGAGCAGTGGTATGGTTTCATAGAAATAACTCCATAGTGTCTTTGTGGATTTAGAAAAAGCATATGACAGGGTGTTGAGGAAGGAGGTCTGGTATTGCATGAGGAAATCTGGAGTGGCAAAGAAGCACTGTATGTTAGACTGGTACAGAACATGTATGAGGACAGCAGGACATGTATGAGGACAGCAGGATAGTGGTGAGATGTGCTGTAGGAGTGACAGATAGCCTCAAGGTGGAGGTGGTATTGCATCAAGGATCGGCTCTAAGCCCCTTCTTGTTTGTTCTAGCAATGGACTGACTAACAGATGAGGTCAGGCTGGAATCCCCATGGACTATGATGTTTGCAGATGACATTGTGATATGTGGTGAGAACAGGGAACAGGTGGAAGAGAACTTGGAGAGGTGGAGGTATGCACTTCAAAGAAGAGGAATGAAAGTCAGCCGTTGTAAGATTGAGTACATGTGCGTGAATGACAGGGAGGCTGGTAGAACAGTGAGAATACAAGGAGCAGAGGTCACAAAGGTGCAGGACTTCAAGTACTTAGGGTCCACTGTCCAGGAAAATGGAGAGTGTGGTAAAGAGGTGAAAAAGAGAGTCCAGGCAGGACGGAGTGGATGGAGAAAAGTTTCAGGAGTGATTTGCCACAAAAGGGTGTCAGCAAAGGTCAAAAGAAAAGTTTACAAAACAGTGGTGAGACCAGCTATGTGTTATGATCTGGAGACAGAGGAGTGGACAAAAAGACAGGAGAACTAAAAGTGGCAGAAATGAAAATGTTGAGGTTCTGTTTAGGAGTGACAAGGATGGATAAGATTAAGAATGAGATTATTCAAAGATTCAAGGTTCTTTATTTGTCATTTGCACCCCATATGGTACATGTGGTCGAACAAAATTATGTACACAGGGTCCCAGTTACACCAAACAATAAAATGTAAAAGAAAAACAGTAATAAGATCTAAGATATGAACTAAGAAAAACATCAACTAAACATACACTAAGCAGGAGTAGCATAAAAACATTACATCAAACAGCAGCACGAACATGAGTCTGTGTGAGCAGATGAGCACGCATGAACACATCAACATGAAAGAGATCAGCAGCAACATGATGACATTTTTTCACAGTGAATATCCTGGTTAGAGACTCATGAGTCTAACAGCCTCAGGGTAGAAGCTGTTCCTCAATCTAGTGGTTCTACACTTAATGCTCCTTAATCTCCTTCCTGGGGGGAGCGGGGCAAAAAGTGTATGGGCTGGGTGAGTGGGGTCCTTCGTGATGCAGGTGGCCCTCTTCCTGCATCTAGAGGTGTAGATGTCTGTGATGGTGGGGAGGCTGACTCCAACAGACTTCAGTGCAGCCTTCACCATTCTCTTCAAAGCTTTTCTTTCTGCAGCTGTGCAGCCTCCATGCCACATGTTGATGCTGGAGCACAGGATACTCCCCACTGCACACCTGTACAAGGAGGTGAGGACTGAGCTTCCCAGACCAGCTTGCCTCAGCCGCCTGAGGAAGTAGAGTCTCTGATGAGCTTTCTTAATCAGGCTGGAAGTGTTGTTGCCCCAGCTGAGGTTGTCATTCATGTGTACATCTAAGTACTTGTAGCTGGAGACCACTTCCACCGCAGATCCTCTTATTTTCAGGGGGGTGTAGGTGTGTTTGTTCCTTCTGAAGTCCACGATCATCTCTTTTGTAAATGGTAAATGAACGGTACTTATATAGCGCCTTTCTATCTTATTTCAAGATACTCAAACCGCTTTACACTACAATCTGTGTCCTCATTTACCCATTCATACAGCACTCTACTAAATCTCTACAAAGCTAATTGAACAAATCATTCTAATGCGACTAATCAGTGCTTTTAGATCACATTCATACACCGATGGGACACACATCAGAAGCTATGAGGGGTTCAGTGTCATGCCCAGGGACACTTCAGCATGTGACTGCTGGTGGATTCAAACCCCCAACTCTCGCATTGGAGGACGACTGCTCTAACCACTCAGCCACAGCCACTGTCTTCTTCACATTGATGTGAAGGTTATTCTCTTTGCACCAGCTCTCCAGGTGTTCCACCTCCTGCCTGTAGATGGACTCATCATTATTTGTGATGCATTCCAGCACCACTGTATCATCTGCAAACTTTACAATGACAGCTTGGGTGGGTAGCTGCACAATGTGGGGGAGTGGTGGCGCAGAGGTTAGAGAGGTGGGCCTGTGATCGGAAGATCGCCGGTTCACGCCCCGGTTCCGACAACATCAAAAATGTAGGTGGGGTAGGTGAAGCACCCACATTTGCCCCTACCCTCATTCGCCCCACTCTGGGCCCATGGGCAAGGCCCTTGACCCCCCCCCCCCCCCCCCCCCATCTGCTCCCTAAACAGATCTCTGTTGAAAATAAGTTCTTGTGGCTCAATGAGACTACCTGTATAAATAAAGGGTAAATGAAAAACACAAACAAACAAACAATCATATATGAGCAGAGTGAATAGGAGAGGGTTCAACACACATCCCTGAGGAAAGCCAGTAGTGAGGGTTATGGTGGAGGAGGAACAGTTGTGGATCCTCACAGACTGAAGTCTGTTTGTTAAGAAGTCTAGGACCGAGATGCAAATGGGGGGGCTTAGTCCTAGTGTGAATAGTTTGTCCATCAGGGTTTGCGGGATCATGGTGTTGAAGGCAGATGTGAAGTCCACAAAGAGCATACGCAAGTTGGAGTTCTTCTGCTCCAGGTGGGTGAGAGCAGTGAGGACTACAGAGGAGATGGCGTCCTTCGTTGATGGGTTCTCGTGGTATGCATACTGATGAGGGTCCTCACTGATGCTGATGGTTGTTTTGATGTGGGTCATGACCAGTTTTTCGAAGCATTTAGCGACAATCGGGGTGAAGGCCACTGGCCGATAGTCATTCAGACCAGTCACTGTAGAGCTTTTTGGGACTGGGATGATGGTGGCAGTCTTAAG